TAAAACCCACTGGACCAGGACGTCCCTCCTACTTCTGATGACTTCTATTTTCATCCTGGAACAGACCCTCCAAATATATCTCCATCCTTAGGCCCAACCTCTCTTGTGCTATTTCTTAGACATCAAGATGGCACCATCTTGGTCTCCATCCTCTACAAAATCTGTTCCTTTTCCTGTAATTCCTTACTAGATGAAAGGAATCACCAGTTACTCAAACCAGCAATCAAGTCATCTTAAGAGTGGTGATGTGGCTCAGTGGTAGAGTGCTTGTCTAGCATGCACAAGGCCCTGGGTTTGATACTCAACACCAAAAAGTAAAATTGAGCCCTTGATCTCACTGGCCTCATCTTTCACCTGGGTTTCTGTAACAACCTCCATGCAGCTCCAATCTTGTCTTCTCTTATCTAGTCTCCGCAATGCCACCAGAGAATCAGAGGGATCCTTCTCAAAATCCATCTGTTCACAACTCATTCGTGTGACCAGTGCAGTCAGGTATCAAAACCCATCTAGATTTCAAAGCTCTGCCCTTAGAGCTAAGAAAGAGAAGGTGTCAGCAAGTGAATGCAACAATCACAGGTACTCTGACAGCAGACTCCAAGAGGAAGATAAACTGGGGGCAGATGTGGAAAAGCCTTACTGACCATACAAACTGTAAGCATGCATATTCTCCAGATAGCTAAGAGCATTCCATGCAGCCAGAAACAAGTCTGGGACGGAAACAAGCCAGACTCTGCAGGATTTTCCCAGGTTGAAATCCTCCAAAGGTTCCTCGACACTCCAGAATAAAACTAGGTCTTAAGCCACACAGAGTCATTCATGAGCTGCTTTACAGACTCATGTCTCCTCCTGCCCTTTCTCCAGCCTCCCCAAATCTAGTTCTTTCTCAAATGCAGTGGGTTATGACACACCTCTGTACATGTTATCCCTTTCTCCCAAAATGCTGGTATTCTCTCACTTTTCCTTGTCTAGCATCAGCTCTTCTGAAAATTTTATTAGTTTACGGAGTGCCTACAATGTTCCTGGAACTTTCTTATAATACAATGCAGCCCTTGAAGCTCACCAATTTGTCCTGCCATCTCTCATACTAGTTTTTTTAGGCAAAGGATCAAAATCCGCTTTGGATGCTGGACTTACCACTACTACTGTCTTAGTTACTTTCCCATTATGGGACATAATACCTGACACCCACAACGTAAAGGAATAGTGGTTTATTTTGGCCAGCAGTTTGTAGAGGGAGGTTCCATTCTACAGTCTGCTGGCTCCAAGGTAGGGTGGCATGGCAGAGGGGCTTGGGACAGGAAGCACAGAGAGTCGAGGGAAGAGCAGGGAAGGGAGAGACCTTCCAGGCCAGGCCCACAGTAACCCACCTCTTCTGCCCAGACCCCTCCTCCTAGCAAAAAGTCAGCTATAAACCCCCAGACCCAATCACCACCCAAAAGTCCCCCTATGTATTTGTGCAAAACAGAATCTCTACAGAGATTCTCATTCATCTGGCCTGGTACAGGGCCAGACTTTGTTATTTTAAACATGTTACCTCGCTGCAAACCATAACACCTACTCGTCAGGGATAAAAATGAGAACAACCACTATAATAGTGTCAAAATGGAGACAGCAGTAGGGTGCCGTGGGAACACAAAGAAGAGTCACTGAATCTGAACTGAGGTGGAATCTGAAAAAACACTCTGTGCCTGGGGACAGAAACTTCCTCACCCTGTCCAGGATGGCGCTTGGAGAGCAGCCGGTAGTCACTTCTATCACAATCTTTAGCACAGTCTTAATAATAGTGTTTAAATGGTCTGTTTCCTAAACTGCTTTCTGCACTGGCTCACAAGGGGCTGGGGAAGAGGAGAAGCCCTCCTATAGCTTTGGAAGTTCTAGTTCATCACACTGTGTTTGGAGGCTGATGAGACTTTTTAAAGAAAACACATGGCAGGATCAGATTTATATTTTAAGAGTGCAAGACCCAGAGGCACTGAGGCCCAAAGGCGGCTGCTGGCTCTGGTCAGAAAAAAACACAAGCAAAGCTGGGACCCATCTGCAGTCAAAGTAAAGTGGACAGAAAAAGATCGGAGGTGGGGCCACGGGATGTAGCTCAGTGGTTCTGCTACCTACCTCACAAGCCCAAGGACCTGAGTTCAATCCCTGGTATCAATATACATATATATATCTGACCTAGCAACAATAGGATCTGTGACAGACACGTGTCAGGAGAAAAGAAGATGATTTCTAGGGTAAAGATATAAAACTAGGAGGAATTTTCCTATGTGTCCTTGAGGGGGCAAAAGGGAGAGGGAAAAGGAAGAAAAAGATAACTATGCTTAAGGTACCAAGTATCTATGCATTGTTGTCCAGCAGAGATATAAAAATTGGGACCTGAAACTTAAGGGAAGTGGGGACTAAATATAGATCCTCGAGAACTTTAAATATACAGATGCTATTTGAAGTTACGAACAGAAATATAAGCATGCAAGGAAATTAGAGAACAGAAAAGAACATCAAACACAAAGGGAACAAAACATCATGTTTTCTGAGAAGAGGGAAGGTGTTTTTGTTGTTTTGGACGGTGGAAACCAGAGCTTATATGCACTCGAGGGGAAAAACATAATATGGGAGAGATCAGAGATGTCAGTCTAGAAAGGATGACCATTCTCTTCCTCTGAGATAAAAGGAAAAAGATCTGAAATCAGCTAAGTACAGCCACAGACCAAAAGGACAGATCCTTAAAAGTTCAGGGCTGATTCCCACCAACTTCTTCCATGAAGCAAGAGGCAAAATAAACAGTGCAGAGTAGGCAAGAGTAGGACAAAAAGTCAAAGGATGGTAAAGATACATGAACAGCATGACAGGATTCAGCGCGGAAGAGGAGCTGGGGAAGGAGAAAGTCACAAGATCTCCAAGCAGTGTACATGAAGTTGGAATCTGAAACACAGGACAGCACCCCGAAGCAGCTCAGTTACATGATTTTCTCCAGCCTGGCCAGGGAGCCCAGGAGCTGAAAAGGCTGATTCAGGCTTGAGATCATCAGAGCAAACAAGGCAAGAATAGCACAAGGCCCAGAACAGCGCTTTTATAATTAATCTTTAAAGGTCAGATGTATTCTTTTTTAAAAAATGACTTATAATCCTCTTGACAACCAGAAAAGGGTTGGGGATGGGAGACTGGAGGATAATTCCTCTTTAACTCCTAGAAAACTTGTCAAAACTTCCAGTCCTGAGCAAATGTGATTCTTTCAGCTGCTGAGTCCAAGAAAACCAAACCCGATTCCCTCTGGCTCTTAAAGGATGAAAATTCATCGTAGCTCACACAACATCTAGCTTTACGTACAATGCTATTTCATCTAGGAGACAGTGGCTGGGAAAGGCTGGGAAACACTGTAGATGGGGGGGGCTGTAATTACACTGCAAAGCAGCCTAAGCATCCTTCACCGAGGTTAAGATGAAACACTCCGGGACACAAAAGCAGAATTCAGTTTCTCTCAAATAAATATAGTCACTAGTTGATAATTTAACCCCTTTTTCACCAATTCATTCTGCCATCTCCCAGCATCACTCTTCAGGTACAGGGTCAAAAATTTCCCTGTGGATACTGGATTTCTCCCATCTGGACAGCACAACAGTCCGAGAGGAAGAGGCTAACACGCCTGAGTACCCACCTCGTGCCGGGCCTACTGTGTGCCAGCCTCAGGGCTACGCACCTCCCATGTTGTGAGCGCAGCTGATTTCAGAACGAACCGTGACGCTGAATCTACAGCCCTGGCCTTCAGAGAGGGAGAAAGTTTATGAAGGTTCAAGGGTAAAGGAAGAGGAGTTGGCTACGGTGGCTGATAGCGACGAGTTGGGAAAAGGAGGCGTCTGTCTGGGAGAGAAGGGACCAGACCCAGGGACCCCTGGGGGACAGACGACAGGAAAGGATAGGAGACAAGTACACAATCTGGGGATGGGTTACCGGGGGATGGGGAGGCGCCCTGCGGGCAGGGGTCTCATTTGGGGAGAAGCCCCCAAGACCGCGGAGCTGGACGTGAGGGGAGGGGCGAGGGCAGAGTGCAGGGAGGCTGCCGGGGACAGGGACGCAGGCGACCTAGGACCCCCGCAGGAGTGGTGTACAGGAGGCGGAAGTCGGGTGCCTGCAGGAGGGGGTCTCGTTTTGGGGAGAAGACCCCCAGATTGCGGAGCTGGGACGAGGGCAGGCGGGGATGAGGGCAGAGGGCAGGGAGCCGACCCGGGCCGGGGACACGGG